GCGCGGTCTCGGGGCATGCGGGGGGAGGGGGGGGGGGGGGGCTGCGACCTTCATCGCCCGAGGAGGAACAAGACATAAACGAGAGTTTGGAGGAAGAGGGACCCAGTGCCCTCCCTTCCTTCAGCCCATCAACGAGCCTTCCGCGGTTTCATTCTGCCTGGCGTCTTCGCTTCTCCCCATCGTAAGTGTCTCCTTCCCAGTCATTTAACGCGAGCTCTTTAAGCGACTGTTGGATTTCTCTAAAAAGTTCGCAATGTGGAACGAGCTTTGTGAGGCTGCGTATGATGAGAGTTAGGGTCCTATAAAGCATTTCACTCGTTGGCTCCGAGTTCGTAGGACGAATAGTTCTGGGGATCCAGGTTCCCGAAGTTGGCCCAACCCAACTCCAAGGAGCCAGAAGTCTCTCTCAGCTGTACTATAAAGTGCTGGTGATTCCCGATTACTCCAGGATTATCGTAAGTGTTGAGAAGCTTAAGGCTCGTGGAACGAAGATGGGCCGTATAGCGCACAAATGCTCCTCGACGTGTGTCTATTCCATTGCGGCACGCAAGGCTTTTTTATTTTTGCGAGTGAACTTCCTCAGACGTTCGCGCTTTCCTCATTCTTCCGAACGCAAAATGCCGTCGCGAAGGATGGGAGTCCCAACCGCGTTCAATGACGCCATTTTTTCCCGCGAGATCTCGACACGGAAAACAAACGTGTCTCATGAGAACGGAGCGCTCTTGACACAAATTCCCCAAGCAAAACCACAGTATCTGTGTCTAGGTCTAAGCATGTTAAGCATGCTTAGAGTGAAGTAGCACTTATGCGACTTCACTCTAAGCAGTCTCCGTGAAAGGAGGTTAGCCGCCTTTCGGCGGAGAAGTGGCCAGCCGCCACCTGAACTCCATCCCGACCGCCACCTGAACTCCATCCCCCGCATCCATGCTGACGCGCCTCAATATCTCAAAGCAGTTGGAAAATGATTTCGTTCCTTGTGCGCAGATGAGGCGACATTTGGTGCTTGTACTAGCGGTGATGGCCCTCGTTGGCCATAACTTCGTCACATGTGAGTCCTCTTCATGTCCTCTAGGTCCTCTTCATGTCCTCTAGGTCCTCTTCATGTCCTCTAGGTCCTCTTCATGTCCTCTAGGTCCTCTTCATGTCCTCTAGGNCTTCATGTCCTCTAGGTCCTCTTCATGTCCTCTAGGTCCTCTTCATGTCCTCTAGGTCCTCTTCATGTCCTCTAGGTCCTCTTCATGTCCTCTAGGTCCTCTTCATGTCCTTTGGGTCCTCTTCATGTCCTCGGCAGGGAAACCGTGAAACAAAGATAGTTAATTCTAGAGAAACCCCTACAAACCTTCAGAGATATTACGTGGATTTGCATTTCATTCAGGTGCAAATTGCGTTTAAAAATCTGAATTTATGCAATTTCGCGTGTTAAGCGGGGAAGGCGTGCCAATGGTATTTTCCGCGTTGCAAATGGTATATTCTATCTTGTAAATCTGAACAGAACCAATTTTACTAGCGCTGGCTAGAGGTTGCGAATAAGTTGAATTTGGTCTCCTGCTTAGATGCGGGCATAAAACTAATTTTAGAAATTTGAAATTGAAATAGCAGCAAACTTGAGAAATATAAAATCATTCACACAAGCAAGATGATACAATTCTTAATTTCTACAGAATATTTAAAATGGCTTTTACTCGGTATTTGGTATTAAAAAAAAGAGCAAAGAATTGCAAGAAAAGCAGATACCGTCGAACAGTTGATGTTCTCACGTCATAACTGCTGGCCGTGAAATAGTCGCAATGGAGCATCTGAAGTAGAAAATCACCCCCCCCCCTGCAATATAAAATCACCAAACGGAATGTGAACTATTATTATTATTATTATAAGCAAAGAAAGATAAGTACCAATGTGTTCATATGGGAACCACAATTCTGACAATGATTTAACACTTTAAAAACTGCAATATTCACTCGTACTCCAATTCGGAAACTAGTTGGAGGATTTTTATACTAATGTAGTTATTTTTTTTCGCGATTCGACATTGCAATCCCAATTATTTGTACAACTCTTTTGTTTCTGCTATCCTGGACAGGTCAGAGACAAGCAGGTCAAAGAGGGCAGGGTGGCAACCAGGGTGGAGGTCCGGGAGGACCTGGAGGCAACCAGGGTGGAGGTCCGGGAGGACCTGGAGGCAGCCAGGGTGGAGGTCCGGGAGGACCTGGAGGCAGCCAGGGTGAAGGTCCGGGAGGATTTGGTGGTGGCCAGGGTGGTGCTCAAGGTGGACCTGGGAGCAACCAGGGTGGTGGTCAAGGTGGATTCGGTGGCAGCAAGGATGGTGGTCGAGGAGGACCTGGAGCGAACCTTGCCCGACTTCCCCGTTGTCCCTGGAGCGTGAAGGGGACGTGCACCGTCTGGTGCGAACGAGACTTGGACTGTCATCGCGGGGAGATCTGCTGCTTCAACGGATGTGGGAGCTCCTGCTCTTCCTACGGTGAAAGCGGAAGAGGTGTGAGGTGCGGTGGGACGAGATGTGACGGGGGGGAGAAGTGCATCTCGGGTCAACGAGACCAATGCTTCCGTGACTGTCAATCTAGGGAAGTCTGCGTGCCCAAAAGTACGTTTCACTCCTGCCACGCACAAAGCATCTCCTGTTTCGCACTTGACAATAACGAGCTGAAACGTTTCTCGTTTTCAGAGATGGTGACGTGCGAATCCGTGAAATGCCCCCCGGGCCGTGCGTGCGTGAACATCCTGGAGGGCGACTGCCGCTTCGGGAGATGCGAG